ACATTCACTCACCTCAGCTAATATTTCCTCATTCAGTCATTCATTCATGCATTCAATAAAAATATTTGAAGCAATACGCTAGGTAGTGAACATACAGATGTGAGCAGGAAACAGTTCATACTATCAAGGAGTTTAAAGTCTACAAGGAAAGACAGACAGTAAACAGGCAATGCTGAGTATAGCCCAAGACACACTATATACAACAAGAGTATGAAAAAGGTGTGTAGGAACACCAAGGCACATCTAACCTGGCTTTACCCTCAGAAACACCTGATATAACTCCATGTTCTAAAACTCCTAAATCCCCCTTTTTGACCATAACGTTCCGTCTTTCCACTTATTTTAACATCATAATTTTAATACCTTAAATCCCACCAATTCCCCTGGCTTTTCTTAGTTCCCTCTTCAGTCTGGACTCAAGGCTACCCATTACTCTAATATGCCCCCTCATTCCCTCCTTCCTCTCTCCCTACCTCCCTCCTTCACCCATAAGCTCCATCCCCCAGTCACTAACAATCTTGCTTAAAAAAAAAAAAAGCATTAATGTTGATTCCCCACTTATTCATTAGGAGTATGTAAATGTCTACCATATCAAGCACATACTAGGATATATCAGTGAACAAGTCAGACATGATCCTTGCCTTCAGGGAGGTTACATTCTGGTAGGAGAGACAGACATTTAAATAAGTAAATAAAGGCAATGCAGTAATTAGAGTGCAATAATTGCAGTGGTAGAAAAAAATAGAGTACTCTGACAAAGAATAAGAGATACACATCTTTTAGACAGGCTAAGTATCAAGAAAAAGCAGAAGAAGAACACTCTAAGGAAGAAAAAAATAGCAGGCAAAACACAGGCCCTAAAGCAGGATACAGCAAGAGCCTATTTTACAAACTAACAGGACATGATGGCTCAAACTGAATGAGGAGAAAGTAACAAGAAGTTAGGGGACATGTAGAGGCCAGATCAGGCAGAATCTTGAATGTCTTGTAAAGAGGTTACATTTTATTCCAAGTGCAATGAGAAACCACTAAAGAATATAGGCAGGAAATTGTCATGAATATGATTTAGTCTTTAAAAAGATTTACTCTGGTTGCTATGAGAAGAATGGACTGGAAGGCAGCAAAAATGGAAGCAAAGAGACGGGTTAAGAGGCCACTGCAGTTTCCTAGGCAACAGATGGTGACTAGGACTAGAGAGGTGGAATGGAGACAGAGTTGTTTGTGTTCAAGGGCTATTATGGAAGTGACATCCACTGAGACAGGAATAACAAAACTCTTGATCTGCCTTCTTCCTTCCCCATCCGAAAATCTGGTCCTTCCTCTCAGTATATGACACAACCACAGCCATGAATGTTTAAGCCAAAAACTGGGGATCCAGATATCATTTGTCTCTTCCATTTTCCCTCATGCCTAATTCACATGCAAATCTTTTTGTTTCTTCCATACTTCCAAAATCTGTCTCAAACCTATCCTCTTCTCTTCAGTTCCAGTGACTTCTCTAGTACCAGCCACCATCAACTATGGCCTGGGTAAGCTACTGCAGTAGCTTCCTAATTGCATCCCCCCCCCCCCCCCCCGCCACCAGCATTTGAAACACTTAGACAGACATCCAAGGGGATATGTGAAGTAGGCAGTTGGATTTTTGATTCTGGAGCTCAGAAGTGAGATGACCTAAATTTGGGAACTGAATGCATATAGACGGTATTTAAAGCCACAGAACTGAATAAAATCACATAGGCAAAAAGTTTAGACAGGAAAAAAACAAAACAAAACAAAACAGAGCTTAATACTATACCAGGAAAAATCTTCTGAGAAGGACATATCAAAGAAAATCCAGTCGAACAAAAGGCAAAAGTTCTGCCAGACCATCCCATATATTCTCTGAATTCCCAATTTTTCTCAGTCCTCCTCTTCCTAGACCCAATAAACCACCCATTCCTAGAAACTACACCCTATATACTACACTACTTTCCCCTCACACATGCCTGATTGGCTACTCTCTTCCTAAGTCCTTCCCTGGTTTTTCCTCCATCTTCTGCTCCTGAAATTCAATCATTTCTGTTCCCCCTCCTTCTCTCTCTCTCTCCCTCCACGTGTGTTTGTCTCTTTCACATATATACCACGTCTCTCCAGAAAAAGTCCAGCCACTGTTAATGAGAATGGTTTACACAACATTGGTGTAACCTGGCAGCCAAGGAGAGTGAACTGAAATGCACATGCGTGAACAATGACAACTTTACTGTACTGGTCAGTGGGGGTGGCAGATGCCATTGAGTGAGCATGTGCACTGTGTGGCTGTCTCATTCAAAATGACTGAGCGAGTAGAACAATGAATCTACATTAACTTTTGTGTTAAGCTTGAACATTTCTCTGTAGAAATGTTCTCTACAGGTATAGACAACTGGTGATTGGCAGCTTCATTACAACAATGCACCCACTTATGCATCACGTCTTGTGCAGAGTTTTTTGGTGAAACATCAAGTCACCCAGGTGACTCAGCCCCTCTACAGCCCAGCAACTTCTGGCTTTTACCAAAATAAAATCACCTTTGAAAGGGAAGAGATTTCAGACCATTGATGGGATTCAGGAAAATACAATGAGGCAGCTGACAGTGATTGGGAGAACTGTGTGAGGTCCCAAGGGTGCCTACTTTGAAGGGGATTCAGGTAACACCGTCCTGTGTACAATGTTCCTTGTACCTTGTATTTTCTTCAATAAATGTCTCTATTTTTTTTTATGATTGTATGACTGGATACTTACTGGACAAAACACATACACAACACACTTTCCTCCTCAAAGTTCTTATCTATCCATACAATGTCAACTGTCAACTCTGTACTGAGAACTTCCAAATGTCTAAGTCTTACTCAAAGTGTGGCCCACAAAACCAAGACTTCAGAATCCACAGGGCATGCTTGTGAAAAATACAAATTCTTGGACCCCACCTCAGACCTACAGAACCAATTCCCCTAATAATTGTTCTTAAGCAATGGCATTTATAAATGTCCAATAACTCATACCTATTATTCCACTTTAATCATGTTAGGTGATGGTACAAATTTAAGAGCCTTCATATTTGTTTATAGCAATATGACAGAAAAATGACCTAGGGACTAAGAAGGAAGTTTGATTTAAGGATAGCAGAAACTATAACCACAGGTAAGACTCTGTAATGGAGTTGGTAAGAGTTCTTAAACCTCTGTAACTGTCCCATATTTATCATTTTGGTTTTTCCTACCTCCCAATGGTGATTAAAAATACAAATAATTCAAATGTCAAAAAATCTGACTTGTTTTGCTTAACAGCAAAGAAATAATCTGGAAAGCCAGAATCTCACTCCGTTGTCAGGATAAACTTGAAGATGATAACTTTAAAAAGAAAAGGAAAATAAGATGCCCTCTAGGGTCCTCAAGCAGATAGAGAGATCCAAACCAAAAAAGCAATCAATCATGAGGCTTCACAGTCACAGGTTTTCATCCACCATCACTCTATCTTGTATTAAAATTATTTGAACATGTGTCTTATCCGTGTCTCTGGACTATGAGTTCCCTGAAACTATTATACTTCTCTTGGCATCTGTCTACTACTTTGAAAACCTAAAGCCTTGCCCCGAGAAATCTAATCTTTCTTAAAGTAGAGTTTGCAATGTAATTCTAGCTCAATTCCTGTTCCATTGTCATCAATCCCAAATAAGTCCAGATTGATGAGACTTTACTGTACCACCTGGAAGGAATAAATATATCAAAGCTTTAAATAAATGCTAGTCATCTTTAGTGATACAAGATTATGGTAACACTTCTACCCAGAGCAACAATTTCCCCATTACTTCTAAGTACTTCTAAGGTGTAATGGTAGCACACACTACCATTAAATCCAGGCGTTTCCACTGCTTCTACACTTTCCCTATCTTCTAATTTCTTCGCATCTCATACACATGTTTCCTCCTTCAATACCAGCAGTGAAGTGAGGTTTAATTCCTACCTGGGATAGAAGACAGCTGCAAGCACTACCAGAGCTGGTGGCCAAAGCCTTATTCCAACTCCCTTTTTACCTGGCTTCTATCTCCCAGCCAGACTCAGCAGTCCCTGGGGTGGACTCTTATTTCCAGAGCTCACCCTGTTCTCTCATAAAGCAACACTCAAGTGTCTGCAGTTTTAAAATAGTGCTAGAGGGCTTTCACTAAAACTACAAACCAAAGAACCTCACAAAGAGGTGTACATCCCAAAAGAAAAACTGACAAAACTCAACACTGATAAAACTCAACGATCAATATTTGAATATTTCCTATATATCTCCCAGCATCCAGATCATTACCTAGTGTCACCCCCTATTCATCCTCCTTGGTCAGCTTTCTTTCTGTAGCCAGACGATTGACTCAAATTTGCTCACTATCTCTGCCTTCTTCTTCGTTCAACATATAGATTCCGATATTAATTAATGGTATTGCTCTAACCTGAGGTGTCTGGAAGTCTCTTTTCCACCTTTAAAAAGCAGTGACAGAAGACAGGTTCCGCCAGTGAGGATTAGGTCTTGGGGTTCTCAAGATATTGGAACGAAGGGCTGCAATTGCCGTACCCCACATCTTGACATGAGTTGACAGTGGCACCATACTCTGACACTATCGGGCCCCACCCAGCCAGCTTCGCTCTGCAACAGGAGGTGCTTCGTCCAGGATTCCTGCCGCCTCTATGGGAAAATGGCTCTTCCAAGCCCGCCTCAGCCCCCACAACAGACCCAGCTACCCAACACCATGAGTCCTTTCCACTTCAGGATACAGACATGCTTCAGCTCGTCACCACTAATAAATAGCAAAGTCATTATATTCCATAGACTTGGCCAGCAAGAATGTGGGTGATGACTAACTTTTTATTTGGTGGCTTCTTTCCAGATCGATCCATACGACTCTCCCTCCCCAGAGCCGCCATAGAAGCCCCACATCCTCTTAAGCGCGGTAGGGAGGGACAGATGGGTACAAGAGGAACTTGCCCACAAGGACTTACAGATGCCAGTTGCTGTGGGGTCTGGAGCAAGTCCGGGCTGACTTCCATCCTCTCCGTTGCCCCGGCCTCCTCGTCCGCCATCTTGCGGGAAACTGACGCTTGCATTGGCAGACCCCCGGCCGGAGGCAAGCGGAAACCTGTGGCCAGTCCCGGAGCCGAGGGACGACACTTTTACGACGGCCCCTGAATTCTCATTTGACACAGACTCGAACAGCGGTTTCCGGTTCCCTCCCCGGAAGCTGGCGTCGTGGCCGGTAGGGCTGGAAGGTTTTCGTTCCCGACGTTCTTAGTCGTGATGCTTGCAGGCTGCCGGCCGTACGTCTGGTTTCGGTGATACGAACTGTTGCACCTCCGAGGTGGGAAATAAATTCCGAGTCCATTGTGAAAGGAGAACAACTGCCGGGGGCACTAAGTGCGAACCCGTTCGGCGTGTTTTAGGTCTGGATGTGTTCTGTCTCTCAGCGTACCTGCCATGGCTCCCCAGAGCCCACAGAATGGAAAAGCACTCAAAGATACTACCTCTTTAGGAATGTAGCCTGTGGTCCCTACACGCGCACGGTAAAACTCGGGCCCCACCTCTTGGGCGAGTAGTAGTAGAGAAATAACGCAAAATTTGAGACCTAGTCATTCATCTGTAGAGGGGACCCAAACACGATAATCCTCCCTCATAAAAACAGCAAGGTTGATCTATGTGGAAAGATACAGATAAATTAAGTGAGGGGCTGGGGAGGACACTCAGATTTCCGCAAACTATATATGTAGGCTGATGTACATTAAAATGTGAAGGAAACACTGAAAAGGGAAGAGAACAAATAGCTCCGAGAACAGGGAGAAGAGTAAGGTGGTCAAGAGCAACGGTAGCTTCATCTGTATCTTTTTAAATTGTTACAAAACATCATTTACAATGTATTTTTTAACAAAAGGAATGTTTTAAAAGTTCCTAACAGGAAATAATACGAGTTAATTGGGAAAAGATTAAGTCAGATCTTCACATCGTATATCAGAATAATTTTAATGAATTTAAGGGTTAACAACTGAAAAAGGAAAGTAAGTATTTGTATGATATTAGGATGGAGAAGGTTTTTTAGGTTATGAGAGGTAAGGCCGATACTATTAAAGGACTAATAATACAATTTCATTAAACTAAACTACACAAAGATGAAATTAAAAATTGGGAAGAAATGTCTGCAACATGCATGAGATCTCAAACGATAAAATCCCAAAGATTATTCCCATAGAAAAATGGACAAAATACATAAATATGCAACTTACCAATTTTTATAAATACATGAAAAAGAACTTAATTAGCAAAGATGCAAATTAAAAACAGCATTGTTTACTGCCTGCAAATTTGGTTAAGTTTTTCTTAAGGATAATAACCATCATTTGGTAAGCTGAAGGAATACTTATTGTTAACGTAAATTGGTAAACCTACTAGAATGGCAATGTAGCAAATATTCAGAAGTATTTTTTTAATCCATCTTATTTGGCCTAGCAATTCCATTCTTAAGAATGTATCCCAGAGAACTACTTTAGGATGCAAGTGAAGTTTTAACTATATTGTTTTAAGGGAGAAAAATTAGAAACAACTCAAATGTTCAACAACAAAGGACACTGGCCAAATAAACTGTGGTCACTCATACAATGTAATACTCTGTAGTCATCAAAAATGTGGTGTAACAGTGATTCTCAGACCCTCTGTGAGTTCCCAAGACTCAGCAAGTCTATGAGGTAAAAAACTTTTATAGTAATACAAAGTAGTTATGTACCTTAAAAAAAAACAACATGTTGGTATTTATACTGAATTGTACAGAGGTTGTGGTGGGTGAAACTCCTGGCCTCTAAGCACAAAATCAAGGCAGTGGCATCAACCCAACTAGTCAACAACGTAAAACTAGTAGTAATTTTTTCACCACCATGCTCTTGAAGTTAAAAGTAGGGTGGGGGTCGGGTGGGGAGGGGAAGGTAAGCAGTTTTCCTTAACAATGCCCTTGATGAGGCAGTAAAAATTAAGAATTTTATTAAATCTCAACGTATGAGTCTTTTAAATATTCTGTGTGCTGAAATGGGAAGCACACATAAAGCTTTTCTGCTATGTGTGATGTTTGACTTGAGAAGAAGTACGTCTGTGATTGAGTTGCTAGTTGAACCAGCCACTTTTTTCACTGAAGACCATTTTTACTTAAAAAAAACAACTGACAGATATACCCAAAGGTTATTCAGACAGGTTTGGCGGGCATTTTCTTAACTATGAACAGTAAGCTTTTCTTTTAAAGAAAAACAAGTTTTTCTTGACTGTGGTAGAATTTGAGCTTTCAAGTGAACGTTTTATGGAGAACTTTTATCTGCCATTGTGAATTTGACCAAGTCCCAATGAAATTGGTTGCGATTGACATGTGAATTTTTTGGATATTGTATAATGAAATATATTGACACTTGGAAAAGCTATATAACTCAGTAAGCCAATATTTTCCAAATGACAAATGCAGGATGTTACAAAATCAATAATGGGGAAAAGACCCATTCACATTGCTAAATAGACCAATAGAATTTATATTTATGGAGTCACGGAGTACAAAAAGTTCATTGTATGGCTTCAGCTTCCACTTTGACTTAATCTATATGATTTTACTATTTGCCTAGTTTGGGTTTAATTTCAAAGAAGAATATCCATAGTTAGCTGAAAATTATGTATCTGTGTGAGGCCAGATTTTCTTCATATGCTTCAGCTGAGAAAATATAACACAGTAGACTGAATGCAGAAGTACATATGAGAAACCAACTGTTTTCTATTAAGCCAGACATTAAAGAAATTTGCAAAAATGTAAAACATTGCCACACTTCAATATTTTTTCTTTCAGAAACTAGTTATTTTTATTTAAACATATTAGTTATGTTAACATCTATTGAGTTATTATTTTAAACAAAATGATAGATTTAAGATTTTTTTCTCAGCTTTAATTTCTAATACAGTAACTATCAATGGATATAACCTACATAAACAGAAGATCTTTGAGGCTCCCAATAATTTTTAAGAATATAAAAGGATCTTGAGACCATACAGTTTGAAAGCCACTGTTGTAAAGGCATTCTTAACGACTTGGGAAGATTCTTACTATATATCATTGGGCAGAAGAAGCAAGTTACTTAAACAATATGGTTCAATTTCTGAAAGACAAAAATGTACCTAGTTATTTAAAAATAAACTACACGAAGGTAAAAAGTAAACTCAAACTGGGAAGAAATGTCTGTAACACACATGATAGACCAAAGGATAAAATTCCAAAGACTAGTCCAAGAATATTAATTACCAAAATATGACTCTTAATTATTCCCAAAGCTGCAAAATCATGGAAATTTTTTCTACTTTCTACTTAACTGTATTTTGTAGTTTGTTTGTTTGTTTGTTTGTTTTAGAGAGAGAGAGAAATCAACTTGTTCCATTTACTTATGCATTCATTTACTGCTTCTTGCATGTGCCCTAACTGGGGACCAAATCCACAACTTCGGTGTATCAGGATAATGCCTTAACCAAATGAGCTAACCAACTGAGCTACCCAGCCAGGGCCTGTATTTTCTAGTTTTTCATACAATAAGTATGAATTCTTGTGCAAAACATTTTTTAATCTACCTATATTTTTAAAAATAAATACCCACCCCTAGGTAGATACATAGATACCCCCAATCTATCCGGCTCAAAAAGGCTTCTTGTTAATTTCTTATCTAGCCAGATGTGATGTGATCTTTTCCTTCTCTTAGAGGAAATATTAGCTGTATACCTACCCTCTGAAATCAAACTTTCTGGATTTGAATTTCTTTTTTAGCACATGTTGATTGTGTGACCTTAGGTGAATTCACTGAGATTTTATTTCCTCACCTAGGAAATAGATGTGGTAATAAGTCTATTTTCCTCATAGAATGGTTGTGAAGGTTAATGAGACACTACCTAAAGCCCTAAATGCCTGGTGTTTTTCAGTACAATGCCTGCTAGTATTCAGGATGAACAATTTTGTTGTTTTTTTTTTTCTGTCTGTCCTGCATCCAGTGGCAGTTTCTTAATTAAGTGAGAAAGGAAGGAGGTCTTTCTGTTGGCGAAGTCTTCCTTCCAGAGACAGTGTCCCAAACACGTGGTTAGAGTTCATTCCTGCTTGGTATTCTCAGGCAGCACTGTCCATTCAACCTGTTCTTTGTTAAAAGAATAATTTTGCCTCCAGCTTCTTGGTCTTCTGCAGTCCTTGGGTTTCTAAGCCTGTCCCCAACCTCCTGCAGAATCTATGAGTCCCTGATATCCTTTCAATAGATGCCCTTTTTCTTAAGATAGCTACAGGCAGTTTTTATGTTTTGAAGCTGAAATATTCCTAGTTGAGGCACTATATTAAGTTATTATTTATGAGGTCTGTCCAGAAAAAGTCCGGCCATTGTTAATACAACAAGAATGGCTTGCATGACATCAATGTAACCTGGCAACCAAGGAGAGTGGACTGGAATGCATTTGCGTGAACAATGATGACTTCACTGTACTAGTCAGTGGGGCTGGTAAACGCAGTTGCGTGAGCATGTTTATTGTGTGGCTGTCACATTCAAAATGACTGAGCAAGTAGAGCAACAAATCTGAATGAAATTTTGCATTAAGCTTGAACATTTCTTAACTAAAACTATCCCAGTGATTTAGAACTCCTCAGCTATGGTTGGCAGCTTCATCACACAATGTGCTCATTCAGGCATCATGTTTTGTCCAGAGTTTTTTGGCAAGACATCAAATCACACAAGTGACTCAGTCCCCTTCAGACCAGATTTAGCGTCCTGTAACTTCTGGCATTTCCCAAAACTAAAATCACCTTTAGAAGGAAAGATTTTCAGAACATGGATGAAATTCAGGAAAATATGACAGGGCAGCTGATGACGACCGGGAGAGCTAGGTGAGGCTCCAAGGTACCTACTTTAAAGGGGACTGAGGTGCCATTGTCCTATGTATGATGTTTCTTATATCTTCTTTTATAAATTTTTCATATATGGCTGGATACCTTCTAAACAGACCTCATATAACATACTACTGCCTTATATGCAGTGTGTCATAGCCTATCTTAGTTCCTCGACTGCAAGAATCAAGATGTATACGTAGAAATGTTAACTGTGTTAAGGACTTTAGATGCATTTTAAAGTATAAC